AAATAAAAAAGAAAAATATAAAGAATGCTGTAGTTACCTTCAGTAATGTCCTTGTCCAGGACCTTCGGTGTTCCATTTTAGTTGTAGATCTCATCTTGTAGTAACTAAGTTTGGCCAGTAGGTGGCAAACGTGTAAGGCCAAATAGGGTCCGACAGCAGAATGGTTCCTAGGTCCCAAGCAGAATCTGTGAATTCTTAGCAACTCTCAACAATTTCAAAACAAGTGAAATTTTGTTAAAAGGAGGAGGAAAATGAGCCCCGTGCAAATCGCGGGGAAATGCAGAGCTGGCAATTGCGGGGAACTGAGCAATCGCCACAGCAGCGTCCCTGTTGGACACACGTAGTGGCAGAGCAAAACACAACCTCAGAGCGATCTAATCAAAATTGAATCCTTGTGTGCGGAGCGGTGAGGCCGCAGCGACCTGCCTCTGCCTAGAAGAAGAGCTGCCACCTAAGTCACAGGCCCCAGGAAGAGGGACCTCCTGAAGAACAGGACCCACCTGCTCCCACTAGAGGAAGAGATGGGTAGACAGCAGTGTAAGAATGCATTCAAAATCATAAAGAGCAACATGGCAGCACCAGAAACTACTGGTTCTACATCAGGAGCAGTTTACAGCAGAAATAAATGACCTTAAAATAACTTTATGAGCATGGTAGAAGCCCTTAAGAGGAAATCAAAAATTCACTTAAAGTAGTAGAGGAACAGATAAACAAAAAACAAAAAAATAGAAAAAAAATAAACAAATTTCTTAAAGAAAACCAATAAGAAATAATCAAACAAGTCAAGACTTGAAATTTGAAATATAGGCAATAAAGAAAACACAAACCGAGGAAAAAGAAGATATGGGTGAATTAACATGGACTACAGATTCAAGCATAAGCAACAGGATGCAAGAGATGGAAGAGAGAGTCTCAGCTGTTGAAGACAGAATAGAGGAAATAGATTCATTGGTCACAGAAAATATTAAATGCAAAAATTATTAACATAAAACATTCAGGAAATCTGGGACACCATGAAAAGAACAAACCTAAGTATAATAGGAACAGAAGAAGAAGTCCAGCTCAAAGTCATAAAAAATATACTCAAAAGTCATAGAAGAAAACTTTCCCAACTGAGAAAGGATATGCATATGAAGATACAAGACACTTACAGAATAACAAATAGACTGGGCCAAAAAAATCCCCTTATAATTAAACAATAAACATACCAAATAAAGAAAGAATGCCAAGAGCTGCAAAGGAAAAAGGCCAAGTAACATACATTATTCCAACACAAGGAACTCAGCTATCCACAAAACCACAGACAGTAGATAATTCCACAATAGCAAAACACAAAGAAGGCAAAAACAAACACAATAACACCAACAGCAACAAAAACAAAAATAGCAGGAATTAACAATCATTGGCCTTTAATATCTCTTAATATCAACAGTCTCAATTAGCCTATAAAAAGACACAGGATAACAGAATGGTTATGAAAACAGGATTCATCCTTCTGCTGTGTACAAAAAAAAACACACACCTCAACTTCAAAGACAGACATTACCTCAGAGTAAAGGGTTGGGGAAAGATTTCCAATCAAATGGACCAAAAACAACCTGATGTAGCCATCCTAATATCTAACAGGATAGACTTCAAACTAAAATTAATCAAAAGAGATGAAGATGGTCATTTCATATTCGTCACTGAAAAATCCATCAAGGGAGCTGAGTGCTGAGGACAAACCTAGAAGGAGATTCCATTGATATCTAGGTGAGGCCACAGTGCCAAAAGTTCCATATTTCCCAAAAAAAGGGACTTCACAAGTGACCAAGCATTGAAACCCAGATGCTGTGTACACCACTTCATACCCCAAACATAAGACGCAAGAAATTGCAACAGAAACTTATATAAACAGACATTAAACATGCACACACATACACTGACAGGAATGCACACAGACACAGGTGCACAACCAGAAAAAATGATTTACACAATGACATGCCCATATATGCCCAATGGCACTAGTCACAGAGAAAAACACACAAACATGCATCTGTCTATATATTCAAAACACTACTCAAATTGATAAAAATGCATAAAAGAACTACACAGGCACAAATTTACACAAGCAAGCGCGGATATCAGCACACAAAGACATTTGCACATATTAACACATAATCAAAAATGCTGATGTTCAGTCTCTCACAGCTGCCTAGACATAGATCCACATTCAGTACACACAGGCACACAATGTGTGCATAGAATGTTGTGGCAGACAATGGAAGAGAAGTAAGATGTAGGGACCCCCCAGAAACTTTTGTCAGAGTCTTGACTCCCAATTAATCTTGAAGCCTGGAAACAGTCAAGGCAGCCGCTCTATGAACAGGTGGGTTGGGATTTGGGTGCATTGCAGGGCAGCTGCCAGCTCGGTAGAGACCAGCTGCGAGGGCATGGAGAGTCAGGACGGTTGGCAGCACTCTCAAGAGGATGGAGAGAAGGGGGAAGACAGGACACTGTGCTGGGGTGAAGGGTGACACCACAGCTCAGTTATCAGGGGACTGCAGCTGAGGAGACAGGCTGTTGGCTGCTCTGGAAACTGGAGGTTCTGAGTTGGAAGAGAACGTGTTGTGGCATCTTTTAATGGGAATACAGCCAGCCATGGGGAGGCTGGGAACACAGCAGCCCTTGTTATCCTTCTGGCTCTGGCTTCCCAGGTGTTCCTTCCCACTCTGACGGCATTCTCTTTTCTGATAAGGTTTTCCGAGAATGAGTGAAAGCACACACCGGTGATTAATTACACAAGTTAGCACCATGTATTCATGAAGTCCAAACAAAATAGTGCAACTGGCCTAATAGCATGGACAGGGGTTTTGTGCAGTGGGGAATCGCCCAGTGCGGAATGTATGTGCTGCAGGGAGGCACCGAGCATAGAAGCATCATGGAAACCATGCAGCTGCTCCTGCTGACTGTGGTCCTGACCCTGGCCTCTGAGGAGCAATTATCCTACAATTATCAAGAGGAGGTCACTGTGAATAAGGTGAGACTGAATGTGTACCCTGGGTTCCCATGGATGGAGTGAGTTTTCAGGCTGCTGCCGAGAGTTGAAAATGCACATCCTTGAGATGCTTGGTTTTTATTTTTTAACTCAGTTCCTGTCCTCCAGTATGGCTTTTCCTGATATCTGACATCACAGAGGCACCCAGAGCAGAATGATGTCTTAAGGATAACTCTGTCTCATCTTATGCCACAGAAACCTCCTGCCTCCTCTGTCAGCCTGTGGCCTTCTGATAACCTTTGATTGATTCCACAGAGGTGACTCTGTTCGGTTTCTGTTTCTCAACAAAGCCTCATGCAGTACAATATACACAGAGCAGGGCTACTATTTCCAGAGAATTAAGCAATGCTGGGTATGGGGATGGACTTCCTAAGATGTCCTGATGTTTAAACTGATGATGTGTTTTGAGAAGATGAGAGACTCTGAAGATGATCAGCCTTACTCCCAGGCCCTGGCACTGATTGATAAAGATGCCTGTTATGGCTTCTCTGGTTTTTCATGGTGTCTTCCTGGTAACTCAGTTTACCTGGAGGCAATCATGCCCCATGGATGAAGCTGGTGTCTGGGTACCCTGAATCCCTCTGACAACTACAGTTCAATCTGGCCCAATAGTCCCTCTCAGTCTTAGAATAAAGGGATTGGCCATCTCTTTATCTTGCATAGTCTGGGGTTGTTGGTGATTTTTTTCCTGTTTTTTGTAGGAACTGTGCAGGAACTCCAGAATCAACCTGTCCCAGGAATGATAACTTTCATTCAAGGTCCCAGTACTATCTTGCTTGGATCTGCCCATTCATGACAGAGAGGGACTAACCATGGCCAGGACTCTTTTTGATGCTTCAATGTATCATGATTGTTCAAATGATACAGGGACCTCACCCCAGCCCCTCCTTCATTTCTTCCCATCTCAGTTCCTTCCTAGAACCCCTTAGTCTGGCTTCCCCTTTCCATGCTTCCCCCTCAATGGTGGCTTTGCTCTCTAGCTTCTAGGAAAGTGGTACATAAATCGCTGGGCAGGAAATATGCCTGTTCCTGAAAAGAAGAAGTTCAGCCCACTGCCACCCTTCACATTCGTCAAGAACATTATTGGCAAGTTGGAGTTTAGGATGAACATCTCGTAAGTACCTGCCTGCCCTCAGAGAGCCTTCTCTGCATTAGGCTCTATGGTTTCAATACACTAACCATGTACATGCCCCTAATATCAACTGGGAACTCGCTATCAACATGAACTTCTCTTGTATTTTCTGGGCAGTGTGTCAGGTGACTTCTGTAAGCATAGCAGAGATGTTCACAGGACACGAGATACAAGCAGAAGGTCCAGTGCATAATATGCTGTTTTCCCATGGCACTCTCTGGAGGGCCGAAGCTTTCCTTCCTAGTGCTGTTTTGATCTCTGGAGTCAGTGTACTTGCTGTGCTTGTATCTGTGCAGGCACAGAACTTTAGGCCCCACAAGATTTCACTCAGCTTCATGTGCAGTAAGAACACAGGGGTAGAGACAGCAGGTCCAGGACTGTGACTTCTGAGGGATACTTTTGGAGACACAGCAACAGAATGACCACAGGACCTGGTCTCCTAGGGAAAAATGGCCTGGGATGGCAGGAATCCCATGCTTAACTGGGGAAATGGGCAAGTCTTCAGATATGTGCTGTAATGTGGAACACATAAGGATTGTGGACAGCCATGTACTGATGCTTGTCCTACTTCTATATGTATCAGAAGGATCTGGGGTCAACTCATTAATTAGCTCAAAGATGGCAACAGGGAAGGATAGGGCTGATGTCATAGAGAGAGCCATGCTTTTGTCCTGTGTTGCAGAAAACCTATTGGGTGTATTGAATTCAAGATATATCTGAATGAAGTTAAAGGTAAACCTGGTATCTTCTACATCTGTAAGTGCTTGGGTTTATATTCTTCTTTTGCTGGTGCCATCATCCTTTGGCTATATGATTTATTTTTCTCCACAGGGCCAGACCACCGCATCGTTTTCGTTTTTGTTCACGGGAAAGACTTTGTCATTGCCATTTATGTGAATAATGCCGACTCCATAAATCACACTATGACAATGCTTATGGGTGCGTCTTACCCTGCCTAAGGTTATAAGAGATGGGCACAGGTTACCAGGGCAGTAAATAAAAGTGGATCACCATCTCCTCCTCTCATGCTCTAGTCCAATACCTTGGACTCTTTTCTACAATGCCTGGAGTCTTTGGTAGAGAGGTTTGTAAGCTCTTGTTGTGTCTTCAGCCCTCTCCAGATCACTCCCAAAGCACAAGACTCACCAACGGCACCACCCCCACTTAGTCCTGGCTCTTCCCTTCCTTTCTCAGTCAGTCTTTTTCCTTGTCCTGTTCTAAGAAGGCATCTGCTTGGAATCATTTCCCATGGGGACATTGAGGATCATTTGGAGGCAATGTGCTGTGGTCATTATAGCAGGGCCTGTTCTGAATCCAGATTGTGGTGGACAGAGTTGTACTCATCACCTGATGTGCATAAGTTGCTCCCATACACCTAGACAGACCTGAGGTACTGAAATCCACATTTATCATCATATCAAATGACAAATGTTAGACAAATTAGTGAAGGAAAGTTAAGTGTACAGTTTTGTCCAGTGCTAAATAGAGAAAAAAATATTTCATTGCTCTTTCCTTCCTTCAGATAGTTCAAAATGTTAGGAGAAACTTGAACAAGGCTTAGGAAAACACAGTGGTTAAGAGTTCCTGCTCTGCAAGCATGAAGTCCTGAATCCATATCATGAGAGCTAACATAAAGAGCTAAGCATGGCTGAGCATGCCTGTAACCCCATTATTATAGACGAGACCATGGTTCCTCAGAGATGGTTGCCCAGAATAATCTAGCCACAATGATGAAGTTCCAGTTCAATGGGACAATGTGTCTTAAGGACACAAGTTGAGAGCTGTGGAGGAAGATGATGGATCTTCTTCTCTGGACACCATGATTACAAACACATACCCCCAACCATTCAACACACATACTTATGAGGTGGGAGCAAACACAGAACTTAGGCAAGGCATTTGTGTATTTCCTGAAGACAGATTTTCAGTGACATCCTGAGTAAGGAAGGTGTCTTGATCAAGTGTTCCAGGCTGTGTCTGTTCTCACAGTGGGGTTCTGGATATTGATGTACACATGAAAACACATGGCTCTAAATTTACCCTTGTTAGGTGGAGACATGACCTCCACCTGCCCCTATCACCAGGCACTTAGAGCCCCAATGCTGGCAGCGCATTTCTAGCGTCTGGTGTAACCTCCAGTAGCTCTGCACTCGTGATCCTTCAGGACATCAGGCTGTCCTGTGCCTCCTCCCTCTCTCCAGAACAGCCTGACCACCCACAGTCTTCAGCCAGTAGTCTCTGCACACAAGACAGTCCAACAATGGCCTAGGAGTCTCTCAGCCTAGACATGGAGACTCTAGACAGAAACACCGACTAATGTCCTTTTGCACTGCTCCCCCTCATGCTCAGAAATATTCAGCTGGAGATGCTCTTCCTGAGGCTTGAAATCGCCCAGGTCCCAAAAAACACCTGAATGATATGTGAGTTAACTGTCTATAGCAAGAGTATTTTCTATCCACTTTCCATACCCATATGGTCTTCAGGTCGCCACATGGCTCCAGGTCGAAGAACTCGACTTGATTTTGAAAGTATTGTGCAATACCTAGGACTGAACCGAACAGACATCATCAACCCTAGATGTGATGGTAATGAGATTAATATTTTTGTTTATCTATTTCTCTTACATTCATGATTTAACTATAAGACAAGAACCATTAAACATCCCTCTGAAACATCTATTTCTATTTTTAAATAGATTCCTGCAACAAAACTTAATGCATGGAAAAGTATCAGAGTCTACACAGCACCTTGGATCTGGGACTACTGCACTCGCCCATTCACCTTGTAGATACAATGCCAGATGTTGATGGAAGGTAGACCCCATATCTACACCCCTCGAATGCCTCAGATTTCAGTAAAGTGGTAGATATTCCCTTCTATATGTGTCATGTGTGATTAGTCTGGTGTGAAAATGCAGACCTGACCTTGATAATCAGCATCCATGGGTCCCAATATAAGTGACATGTTATGACACATAGGATCACAGGTCTCAGCTTTGGCAGGCAGAGCAACTATGGAGAGTTACAGGATAGGAACATGCATTATTGCTAGTGAGGGGAGGAAAGGGTTATCAGAGTCCCAGACAAGCAGATGTCAGTCAGCAAGTGAGGGTCAGTGTAAGAAACCAGTCTCAGTACTTACCTCCTGCTCTGGTGCCTAATGTTGGATTGGTGCCTTATTGTGAGGGACATGAAGGAGGCAGGGTGTGCTCTGTAAATGGGGAATGCAGGGCTTGCAGGCAAAGGCTTTACTATTTATATCAATTAGGTAATCTGGGGCTGAGGTCACCAGAAGCAGACAGGTCCAGACACAGGAACTCAAACATACGCATCCTTCTCCCCAAGCCCAGATAAAATGAAAGGGAAAATTTACCCTATATCTCCACTTTAGTTCCAACAATCTTATTTTGCAAGCCTCATGCCTTTTCTTGTAGAAATGTATTTTTATGCAAAAAGCAGAAATCCTCTTTCTGCTGTATTCCCAAATCCAGGCAAGCAGGTGGCTTTATTGACTCAGCTCAGCCTGGGGTCAACCACTACATGAGGTTCCTGAAGGCCAGGCTACCATGAAATGTGTGCATGAAAAATCAGCCCATCTGAACCCTGGACCTTGTGTATGCCAGCCACATATATTGTCAGCCATAGCAAATTTGTGCCCTGAGGAGGGAATGAAAGAGAGGACCTCATAAAACACATGCTAGCTTAGGATGGACATGTTCACGGACAAGGATGAAGTGTGGATCCTCTTCATGGAAGTCACAGATAGGGTATCTGTTGTGCTTTCTAGCTGTTGCACACAGAGCTTCTGTGAGAGGAATAAACGGGGTGGACCTGAGCCCTGGTACTGTGTAAATTCACACACATCTTCTCACACCTTACTATCATACACAAAAGGATAAGGTACAGTTCCACTGAAAAGCAACTAGGTAAGCAAAAAGTAAAGTGTTGCTTACAGGGCCATGACTGATATATAAGAAGCCACACCACTGAAAAGACTCACCCAGACATGGATGGCAAATCCCCCCCCCCAGCTGTATACATGGAGTTTTCTTCAGTTAACCTTTTATATATTCCAAGATGAGAGCATGTGTAGTTTGTACTACATGAATCATGTAGGAGATCCAGTAGAGAGTGTGTGGAATCTCATTTGAAGGTGTAAGGACTCACCCCAAGCTTATTTGAGGGAACATCTATAGACCTGATCTCAATGGCATTTTGATTATCATAGCTGCTGATAGAAGATGTTGTGAGTGTTAAGCTTTGTGGACAGAGTTCTATAACAGGCCAAGTCAGGAGTCTGTACAGTCTTCAACAGTGCATGAGTGTGTTGGGTGTCATCATTGTTGTGGATCTCTAGTGTGAATGAAACACCCAAAACTGTAATCCTCTGAGGAAGCTCATTCACCCTGGGGATCCCATCCCTAAGGAAACTCAAATCCCCTCTGGTGTGAGATGAATGGCTCTTGACTTCCTTCAGTCATTTGAATGATAAGTGGGAAGAATTACTAGTGTCTATGATATCTGTGTACATTTGACCCGCTGTGAATCCTGGCCGGCATTGCTCAGTCAACAGAGTATAGGTCATAGGTTTTAGACAGTTGGCAGGATGGATTCCTTTCAGGGTACCTCCTGAAAAAGGAGAGTTTGGCAGATAATTGTTCCATTGATGCCTGTTATTCTAGCTTAGAAACAGAAGCAGGTTCATATAAATGGATGAGATTTCACAGGGAAGCCAGTGTTATTCATTCAGAGACTGTGGCAACGTGGCAGAACTTCCATGGATAAGGGTGAGTTGTAAGGGGGTTGTTATTTTGTGGTCACCTCCACAGTGACTTCAGGAAATGAGAGCCAGAGTTCTTCTTGTCTGGTGACCCTAATGTAGAAAGCAACTTAGGAGCCTGACCAAAGGGACCTTTTTTTCTGGGATATGGTATAGACCAGCTGTGTCTTACGGACATTAGATTCATAGCTTGTTTCTTGGACTTCATGGTAACTGATCAATTAAGGATGGTTCGGGCAGAGGCTCTTATTCTAGGATATTAGAGTTGTGTATGGCCCCAGAGTGTGAGAGTAGTATTGGGAATGTATAGAGTTTACCCAAATTATTCTAGAATTAATAAAATCTTGGCAGTCAGGAATTGAGATTAAAACCTGACAAACTCAAAGAACAACAGAGAGGCAATTTGCTGACCCTACTCCCAATGGCTTTTCCATCCAAATCCCCCAGATCTTGCTCTTCAGTCCCTCCTTCTTTCTTCCTGTTCCTCTCTCCCCAGCTTCTTCAGTCTTCCAACAACTCTATGGCATATGCTGGTCAGGCAATTACAGATTCCATCCTAAATTCAAGGTTGCTTTATTGGCCAGTGGGTGGCAGTGCAAACAATTCTCCTACAACGGGACTGCGCTCTAGATGCTCAGAAAGCTCAGAAAGGTGGCAGGATTGTTCTTCTCAGGCAAGCCTGAATGCTTGGTCAGTCATGCCAGGTAGCTTATTTTGCAAGCTGTGGTCCAGACCCACCCTGCCTCCAGACATAACAGGTGGCTTGCTGTGCTAGCCTCATCCAGGGCCAAGTTCAAATATCCTAGGTAGATTGTTCTGCTGATGTTAACGGAGCTCACTATTTGGCCTTCTCACACTTATCCTGTTCAGGTTCCCATAGTGGTCTCCCTGGAGATATTCAGAGGTAAGTCTCATTCCCACTCATATCTTGCTCATTCAGGCAAGGCTCAATATGTGTCCAGAAATAGTAGAAATTAGTTTTTTCCATTTTCCATAGTAGCACTTAACAGGGTGCTAACTCCCTGAATTATGATATTTTTGATTCTTAACATGGGAAAGGTACCTCCTTTTTAAACCTAATTTCCTTTTGAAGAATCCCTAGGTGTCTAATCAGATCTGCTGACAACATAGGGAGAGTTCTGCAGTGGTAATCACCTGCAATGATGATGATCAATTATGCTCAATGTTTTACTCTGTTTGATGTTTAACTGTGTGTACAGGGAGGATAGGACAATATTTCAGGAAACATTGTTGGTGTCAATGGATACATAAGTACAGTTACTATGACTACAGCAATGACACTTCTCTGTGCACCTCAAATATGCCTGTTCTTCTCGTGGCACAGTTGCCCCCAGAGCTCCATGTGCAGTTCAGTGGTCTCTGTCTGTCCTCCACGAAGTCTCCAGGGACCCTTTGGGGAGGGGAGACCAAAAAGAATACTGAAATCTCAGTGGACACTCACAGAACAGTAAGAATTGATTTACAAGCTACCAGCTTTACACCTCCAGGGTCTTCAAGGTCATGAGAGTCACAGATTACAAACTCTAGCTTCTTCAAAAAAACCAACTTCTCCATGGCCTCAAAATACTCTGTTCTTGACATTAAGAGGTGGTAACTCTCTGTCATGGTTCAAGTGGATCCCAGACTCTACTTTGTCCATTTAGGTCTGGAAACCCAGAAAATTCCACAACCACCAACCCCATCATGAGGTCGCCCAATACCTGCAGGTCAATATGGGATGAGATCTACCTGTTGAAATTCAGGTATGACCACAGGACCCTGCACTTCCAGGGAACAATGCACCCCCCACCTCTTCCATCCTCTCTCTACCCAGGCCACCTGCCCAAGCATCCTGTGTTGTGTTTGCCATTCTTTTGGGGAGGAGGTTTTCAAGGCCTAACTGTTAAAGGTGGGTCTCCTGAAGTGGAGGATGAGTGTGCTGGAGGAGGAGGAGAAGAAATGGGGTCACAATCATCAACCTCAGCCCCTCTATCTCAGGTAGGCCCCCTGCATCATCTGCTCATCTTAACCTCACATTGTACTCATCTCCCATGGTGGTTTGGATGAAATTCCCCCATAGAATCCTAGATCGATTACTAGGTTATCAGGGATTGGCAGTATAGGAGATATGCCTTGTTGGCCAAAGAGTGTCACTATGGATGGGCTGTTAGGTTTCAAAAGCCCTTGTTAAATCCCAAATCTCTGTCCTACTGGTGCCTGTAGGTCTGAATGTAGAACTATCAGCTACTTCTCCAGCGCTATGTCTGACTGACTGTATATTGCCATGCTCCACACCACAGAGACAAAGGATTAGCCCTCTGAAATGTTAAGACAGCCCTAAGCATGCTGTTTCCAGCAAAGGACTACTTTATTCTCTATGGGGGAGAGAAGCTGAAGCAGTATAAGATCTGAATAGCAAAAATTGTGGGGACTCAAGTTTTCCATTTTCCCCTGTCTTTCTTCTCCTCCCGTGGGATAATCCACAAGCATCCAAGACACACATGCATCCTTGGCCTACCCCAGGCCTTAGTATAAAATCAATGTTCCGCATTCTTACTCTCTGTCAATGGAAGGGTAGAAATTACTGTTTACAGTGGCACAAACATCACCATTGTAGTCAAGATCTCATTACAGACAAAGTACCTGATTACTGTGGGGCGATCAAAGGAGAGGAACAGGGACAGAAACAGGAACCAGCATGTAAAGCCCAGACTCAAGCAGAGACTTGTTGTCTTTACCATTCATACGGAGCTGAGGGCCCTGAAGACTCCCGAGATTTCACAACGGCCAGACACATGTAAACACAGAATAGGTTGTGGAATGGAGCCCTGATCACAGAGAGATGGGCTCCTACAATCTGGGGTCACTGCTGGCATTACAAGCCTGTTTAGGGGGAGGCTGAGGTATGCTAAAGGGAGATGCTTTGAGGACTTGGAGTTAGCATTCAAAGATCACTTGCTTAGTTGGGCCCACCTCCGAGCCACAAGTCCTACAGGCTAGGAAGGAAGTTCCATATGCTCTTCATCTCTGCCCCCTACAGCCCCAACTCTCCCTGGCCTCAGCCGCAGACACATACACCCAATAAACCAGGAAGTTCT